CATAACGAACGTGATGTTGATTTAAGGAAAAATTCAACTTTTGCTGAGCGTCTCCCCAGAGAACAGCTTTTGGGTGGGTTGCTTTTCCAAATATATTTTTTACCGCCAGCAAAATGGGGAAACGTATAAAGATGAAAGTGGGTGGCATAGAGTTTCCTGAATCTATATTTCAGAATGATGAAAAATTTTCGTTAAAAAAAAATCAGACCACTTTTTTCAAGTCCGATTTCGTGAATTATTTTTCGATGCAACGAAACAGAAACGGAAAATTAAAAATTCTCTTCAGAAGTACCTGTTTGATGGCTGCGTACAGGAAACATCCTACTTTTGAAATATGCCTCATGAGCATAGATTATAAGAGGGAAGTATTTGAAAATGTCTTCTCCACCTTTAAAAAAAGGGACACACGAAGAGATATCAAGTTAGGCACACTAGGAATAATAGAAGTAATGATTTTGATCAAAATTATGAGTTTCGTCCCCATATGTCACATATTCCAATAGGATGTACTTTAAATACGTGTTTGCCATTTCGCAAAGAATAAATGAATTAAGCACTATCCAAGGTAATGGAGCGCCGAAGGCGCGATCACAGCGAGTTTGTTTTCCCGAAGGGCAAACAAACTCGCTACTATATATATACAGGGTAACCCATTTGAAAAGTTTACCAATGAATGGCTATGTACAAAAGAAACTACTGGACAGAAGAAGCTGAAAGTTGGTATGCAAACAGTTTGAAGTATGGGCTTCTGGAATCCATAAAAAAATTTAAAATTAAAATTTAAAAACAAATTATAAAAAATATAAAAATAAATAAAAAATAAAAAATAATAAAAAATAAGTGCGTCAAAAGATGGCACCACAAAAGAGCATGTCACGTAGCCCAGCGAACCGTATGAAAGATTAGTCGATGACCACGGACTGGAAGATTACGGAACCTAACCAGTGCAAGACAACATGTTAGCGTTCACTACGAGGATCGAACTGATACAGAAGTTTTACGAAAATGGGAGGAATGCAGAGGCCGCCTTAAGGTCGTACCGTCGAAGCCACAACATGCGCCAAGGTCCATGGTCACGAGCAGCGTTGGGAAAGCTTGTGACAAAATTTGAGAAGACAGGATATGTGGCCAATTTGAAGAAGAGAAGGAGCCGTAGGGTTTCTGAAGACATGGCTGCAGAAGTGGCATTGACTGTAGAGGAAGAACGCGCGACATCGCATGTTGGTATTGTCAGTGGCTGTTGCACGTCGCACTGGAATACCGGTAGAGACAGTTCGGAGGACGATGAAAATTACGCTTCGGCTGTTTCCATGTCGGATTCATCGAGTTCATGCTTTTGTCAGCTGTTGACATGCAGAGGCGTTACAACTTGAGTTCCTTGCACATGTGGAAAATAGTGAAACGTGGTTTGGAAACATCCTTTGGAGTGATGAAGCCCACTTCACCCTCCATAGCACGGTCCACACCAAAGACTGTGTTATCTGGGCAGAGGAATACCCTCACGCCATCGCCCAAGAGCCTCTCCACGATGACAAAGTCACCGTGTGGTGTGGATTCACACAGGACTTCCTGTTGGGCCCCTTCTTCTTCGAAGAACCCACACAGCGCGGTTTCAAAACCGTCACTGTAACAGGAGAGCTATACAGACGGTTATTGGAGCAACACGTTATCACGGACCTACAGCAGCGAAACGTTCTGGATAAAGTTGTGTTCATGCAGGACGGTGCCCCTCCTCATGTTTCCAGAAACGTTAAAGCTCTGCTCCAACAACATTGCATAATCAGCAGACACTTTCCATTTTAATGGCATGCTCGATCTCCCGACCTCACACCAGCTGATTTTTGGTTATGGGGATACCTGAAGTCCCGTGTTTATCGTCATGGTCCCACCACGCTGATTGACTTGAAGACTGCCATACGACATGAGATAGCCATGATCCCAAAGGAAATGCTCTCAGCTGCAGTTGGGAATATCCTACCCCGCCTAGAAGCCGTCGTCGCTCAGCACGGAGCCCTCATCGAGCAGCAGCTCTAGTCAGATCGCTGTATCACTCGTGCCTCACCATGCTTGTTTGTCACATCCTTAGAAGCCCATGCTGCCAATAGTTCACATGCCAAGTTTCAACTTCATCAATCCAGTGGTTTGCTTTGCAATTGACCATGTGAAATGCGCCGGTGGTGACATCTTTTGACACTCTAATTTTTCATTTTTAATTTTTCTATGGATTCGAGAAGCCCATACTTCAAACTGTTTACATGCCAAGTTTCAGCTTCTTCTGCCCAGTGGTTTCTTTTGTAAATGGCCATTCATTGGTAAACTTTTCAAATGGGTCACCCTGTATGTATTTATAATTTTTTTACAGGCGAACGACATGCTCAAGGTGTGCTCCCCTTCGTGAAATTACGTTGCTAATCTGAGCACTTTAATTTCGGTGGATAATTTGCTTCATCAGTTGCAAGTTTGGCTTCACCAAGACAAGCAACAAATTTCTCTTCGCACCTTTTGCGCGGAAATTTCGGCCTTGGGATCCCGCCTCAGCGAATTCTTCCCGCGGAAACATCTCAAGGAGTAGGGAATGAAAAGTGAAGCCCCTTCCATTTCCGATCAGAATGCTGGAGGCCGTGATGAGAAATTACGCTGGATTTGTCATCCGATTTCGCAAAGAGTAATTCACTTCGAGCATGTCGTGTGCCTCCAAAAAAATGAAGGAAAAACTCATTTTGCTATAATTATGCCGGGTTTCATGAGCATAAGTTAACCCATTGAATTTCTTAAAATTAGTATCTGAGAGTGTGGCATAATTGCAGAATCACCCTGTATTTGTCCTTTTCATGCAGCTTAGGATCATCTGGAAGAGGGGCTTCCCCCCCCCAAAAAAAAAAGAAGTAAAAGATATCCCTAGGGGATATGTATGATGAAAAGGATAACTTTTTTTTCTGATCACGATGGTTTTCTGTTTCAACCCGATCCGCTGTGGCTGATAAAAGTTTCCACGAGAGTAACTCAAAGGTGGGAACTTCCCTTAGAAATAAACCATTTTAGAACTACCTTCCCGTGAAATTCGGCTGTCCGTTTGCCTACCTGTTGCACTGAAGGGAATTTTTTTTGTCTTCCGGAAGAAAAATACTCCCTGAGGGAAGTTGCGTCTCCCTGCACCTGAAAGCCGGATTTTGCCGGAGACCGGATATTTACATCGACTCGGTAACCGGCTCCACTTTTCAATTCATCGTCGATCACTTACCGCGCGAAATGCACGGAGTTTGAAATCTGGCGAGATTCCGGTACTTGGGTTTTTTTCTTTTCATTTCCCCGGAGATTTTTTATTCGTCAGGGAACATTTTATTCGGTGTTTCCGAACAAATTAAACAAAAAGGAATATAATTAGTGCCCCATTAGTTGGTGTTACCCTCGAAAAGAACCTTTAATCTGAATGAACCGTCTACGACTTTCCTTGCCCAAAGGGCAACCGCACTCGCCAGTTCCAGAGAAGATCCAGGGTATAAATAAATAAATAATAAACTTACCAACGATTTATACCAACTTATGAATCCCAAAAATGTCCCCGCTCGCACGAAATCTTTTTTTTCACGAAACTTTCGCGAAGTGTAGATTCGTACGTTTCCAACAGTTTCTGAAAATGTCATTTGCATGTTTTGTTTGCGAAAGCAACAATATAAACAATTACTAGAAGGAAATGTATACGTTTACAGGTTCATTGATTTCAGGTTCATCAAAAGCCACAGGTTATTGATTTCAGGTTCATCAAAAGCCGAGGCCGACTCCTCCGAAAGCTTCCATTCCGAGAAATCCACAAAATCCTGAAGGGAATTTTCAGCGTCGAGGAAAACTCGAGGATAACCGCACCATCCCCCGATCGCGAAAAATTGGAAGAGCTTCTTAATGCTTTGGCCCAGAAGCCCGGCAGGTACGTGAAGTGGTACCTGCAGGTACTCCTGTTCCTGCAGCACCACTCGAAAGATCTTGCCGAAGAACTGGAGGGAAATACCGGTGAGGCCCATAAGTTTCAGTCTATTAATGCTCCATACCGCTTATTTCCCACTCGCATGAGCATCTGGATATAATAATTCATAACGGATGTAATAATTCCACGCATGTATTTATGCCAAGAGCACGATCAGTGGCCATTCGCTTTCGAGACGAGCAGGCTGGGTCGAATACATGGGCATTAGCGCCTGGGTGGATGCCAAGTCGAACTCGACCCCGTTCGCGAGATACGAGGTCAAAAAGGTCGAAACGATAGGAATTTTCAACCACACCTTGGACGGAGAAGTTATCGACAGTTCTCAATTAAAATTTCACCGATTATTTAAAATATATGAAAATTCATTTCAAGCCTAGCATATGACCTCGGAGAGCTACCATTCGAGGTCAAATGTAAAAAAAATCAAAACGGTAAAAATAATCCGTAATTAGTCGAAAGAACTGATGTTTCCACACTGTCAGTACCAATGAAACAGTACCAAACACCGCCCAGGAGGTTGATATATTTGTTTAAAAATGGCTCGTTAACCTCGGTTATCGGAAAATGAAAGGCCTCCCTTCCCTGTTATTTTTTTTTCAACAGAATTAGCCTTCTGAATGCAGGATGATTTCATTCATCTGCTGCGTCACATCGAGTCTCCCATTTCGGAGTGTGAATCGAATTCTCAACGTTGGGTCCGCATTTCCTTCATCCCTCGCGAGGGAATTCTCGCAAGCATTTTTTTTTTAGCCAGAACCATTTTGGTTCTGGTCCGAGATCGGCGCACTCACATATCACTCACATTTTTTTTCGCTACGACTTCCATGTGTCCTTTGAACGTATTGAACTTCTCATTCATCTTTCTCCAGCCGATTCCAGCCGATTCCAGCCGAATTTCAACTTTCCATTTTTTAATTTTCTTTCGCTCTCTGTTTCGTTGGATCGAAAAAGATTCTGGAAAATACGCTTCCCACAAAATATTTTCCCTGAGGGGCTTTACCTAAAATATAATATTTTCAGGGAAATCGGTGCTGTGCTCTGAGAGGATTTACCGCAAAATTTGAATTTTCCTGACCGCAACATCACGTCAGTTATGTGTTCGCCAGGACGAAAAAAAATTCAAAAATTCAAAAATTGAAGAGGTCAACAACCAAAAATATACTCCCAGGCGATGTACCTGAAATGCGACTTTTTTTCTGAACTCAGTACCTTCGTCGGTACTCACATGCCAAGTCTTAGCCAAATACTCCGTATCTGACTGAAGCCAAGAAATTTATTTTGAAAACATCTTTCCCCAAATTATGTGCCTCCAGGGCATTTACCATCATAATATGAATTTTCTGAATTCAGCATCCCAATATGTACCTAAGTACCAAGTTTCAAAATTTTGATTGCGTTCAGGAGTAGTGGTCGAAATTCAAAACGGGTGAAAATCAGGTTCTGCTCTGGTTTTCCACAGAAGAGCGGCAGGAATCGGCCGAGAGATTGAACAGCGTGAAAGGGAAACGTGAAAAATGTAGCTATTTATACCTTTTGCAACTTGCTTTCAGATGGTTTGCAATTCAATTTCGGCATTTGGCGAGTGAAGAATGTCGTTGGAAATATGTGTGAAAAGTGGTAGCAGTTTCGGCAATGTAATGTCATTTTCCGCGTTTCCCATGAAAGCAAAACTGTTTTGAGACTTCTCCCGTGGATAATCGTGTCGACTAGGCAGTCTTTTCGATCTCAAAGGTGCCCTTTACATAAGATTGTTAATTGCGTTTCCCTTACTGCTAATTAACAATTATCCATGAGGGAAACACTTCCGACCCGTTTAATGGTGCCGGTAATGTATCAATCGCAAGCTCTTGACGAGTAGATTGCATTGGTGCAAATTTTAGCTGCGAAAGATGAGAAAAGAAGTAGTAATTTTAATGTGTAGTCTCGTGGAGCGAAGGGCGAGACTGCCCGATTTCGTTGTAACAGAGACCCTTATATGCAGTGATAGGGAAATAAATTGTAAGTCCTGGTTTCGGTGGTGTAATGGAGCGCACCGGACCGAGAAACGGCAGGCTCAGGTTCAAGTTCCGGTCGTCCCCTACATTTTTTCGTCCAATCCCTGTAGCCTTCCCTACCTTCGGTCCTCATGACATATGACCTAAAGAAAAATTCAACACAGAAAACATTTTCACGCCATGATTTTGCGCTTTTGCTATATGCACTAACTAACTAACCTCAAAGAAAACAGGAAGGAGGCACATCAAGCGAGCCGCATTCCTTCTATGTTTGGCCGAACGAGCGAGAAAGTCAGCCTAATTTGGGGGATGATGGAGCAGTTGGATCAGAAAATGATCGTGGCCAAAGGCTGCGAGATTTTCCTAACCCAGCCGACCCATCATTTCCCAAAGCAGGTTGACTTTCTCACTCTTTGGCCTTTGACCGCTATGGAGGAAAAAAAATTGAGGTGAACTAACCGTGCCAGTGCGATGAAGGGCCTCACCAGAACAACGAAAACTAAGCCAAAATGTCGTAAGCAAACTTGACTCGAGTACAGTGCGCATGCACGGGAATGTAGGAGCACAGCAAGCAGACGCAATGACCTGGGCGTCGAACATCCCTGCTCCAGAATGTCCAGGCAGAACGTAACCATTATATCAACGCATTAATATTATGGACTCATACCTCAACTCTTTCTCATTTTCTCTGACTGCTAATTGCAATTTTGACCTGAGTCTGTTGAAATGTTGCGAAGCGGATCCCGCGGGACGCGGGTGTGGTCCAGTTCTTAATATTGAGCTTGCTGAAGCTACGCGTCAGCTAAGCATATAAAGCCCCCCTTGCACATTATTCGACCCTGCGGATTTTTTAAATTTTACTCAGCATTAAATACTCAGAGTAAATCACACAGTAAATGCATGCCGGCCCGAAACCCATCACTTTCAAGTTGATTGTCACACCATAGGCGCACGTACGTGGTATTTGTATTGCAGGTGACCGGCTTACGTGGCCAAACCACTGGGAAAAAATGGACCTACTCTTTACCTACCTTTAATCTCCCCGTTACGTATGTATGAATGTGCATACGTATGTGCGGATTTGCGAATGGCAAAATCTTGAGAAATTCTGTGAGAAGAGGATATTCTCAATTCCTAGAAGGATTCATACGGGTGGTGCCAATTTAATCCGGGGTATTCATACTGCTGTTTGCAGACTTGTGCAATCGCCTTGAGCGAGTCCGGGATAAGTTCTCGAAGATACCGAATGCCGAAAAACTCAAGAATATGCTCATAGAAAGAAGGACCCTCGACAACAAAGATGCCAGGACTCTCAAGGAGAGATCCACGGCATCGAAGACCCAGAACGCCCTGAACCTCTGGAACGTCCTGAAGACGAAGGACGGGAGGGACCTCCCGATCATCTGCTGCTGCCTCGACGAACTCGGGCACGGCGACATCGCCCAGGACCTCCTTCAGTCCACCCCGGAGGAACTCATGGACTACTTCGAAGAAGGTTGGACTTTTCTCTGCAATTTGCGCCTTTTTCTCTTACTTACACGTCGAGTTTTTATTTTATTTTAATTTTTTTACGAGTACCGTTTCTTACTAATCCGAAGCGAAACGATTCACAATTTACAATCGCATTGGAGTACGAAAATGTCAACATGTTCCCAGCATGTAATGAAGCTAAGAATCCACGTCGAGGGTAAAATTCACGATCCAGCCGCCACGCCATTGCACCCAACGGCACATACTTGGCAAAGACTCGGCACAGTAGATTGTGGTTTGGTATGCATAAAAGTGTAGGAAGTGGACATGATGCTGCCGAGACCGTGAACTCGTGGAAGAAGGTGGACCTTCACGCCACATGACCCCGAGGAATTTCCAAAGCGTAACAATCCGGTCTCATCAGCCTGACTTTCAACTTCCTCAGTGCGCAATATTTTCGCAAGAAATTGCCATGAAATTGAAGTAATGCATCGATCGAATGTTGCAGTCATGTGTTATCTTTCACTTCTTCCTGGAGATTATCTCTGGATTTCCTTGTGCAGAGGTGCGTCTGCAATGGGAGAACATATTGGACGCGCTGGAAAGACAGCAGAAGAGTTTGGACGAATCAAATGAGAAACTGGAGAAGATAACGGAACATTTGCAGGAATGCAAGGGGGCCAACAATGGATCGCAACTGCTCGTGAGTTAGATACCCGCTACAATTCATTATTTTTTATTTATTATTATTATTATTTTTTAAACTTTCACCGGTCCATGCCATTCAAAGTAGTTTGTTCGTAATTTACAAGGACGTGAATCATGCTGCGCGATACGATGTCTTTTAGAACTTATTCGATCTTCGAAGAAAATATTAGAACATTAATGGAGATAGAAAACAATAGCAATTGCACGTAGGTGGGCCGAAAAGTTACTTTCGGCGCTGAAGTTCGAGGGGAATCTCCGTCCTTGTTTTTTGCTTCTAATTTTTTTTCTTCTCCAAATGTGCGAATCCATTGGATGTTCCATTTGCTGCACGCTTCTCAAAGAAAGGCCGACAATGAGACTTTCTTTTGTGTAAGAGATTCATTCCTCCGTGAAATTCGAAGATCATAATGTTGCGTAATTGTTTCATGAAACTCCCAATTTAGAACCGATTTTCTAAAATAAAGGAAATGCTTTTCCTTGCTATCTTGAAATATGTCAGCAAAAGTTTCAATGCGTTTCATTTCTTTGGAAGCTAGAGGAAAAATGTACTCCATTGTATTCATGAGATATTTATAGGAGTGGGTTTAGTGGGATTCGAAAAATGATTTTCCTTGAAATATACTCATTGCCAAAAAAAAGCACGACCAAGGAGTTCAGCTAACTTGATGAAATTTGGCACAAAAACTCATAGTGGCATACATGAAATTGATTACAATTTCAAGTGTGCTCCCAAGCTCCCAAAGATGTGAAAAAAAAATCGAACAAGGTTTCGAGATCGTGAGATGAAGCAATTCGGGGAAAATCTGCAAAATGCCGGAAGAATTTGGGAGAAAGGGGTTAATTGAGGATGTTTCTTTTTTTTCTTAATTGTCTCAAGCCGCTTCTCTTTAGTGCCGTTGTTGAAAGTTCAAGCGCGAGGCAGTGCCAAGATGGAATCTCTGGAGGCTATTTCGACGTGTAATTAAGGAGTTTCATGCATGGAGAGTAATTTTGATGCATGCGTCACTTTCCATGCACCAATTTGATGCATGGTGAGCATCCCAGTTACCCGCTTACCCTGCCAAAGTGGTCGGCCATGAGTGAAGTCTGTAGTGAGTGCAGAAACCGCTCTGTGCTGGCGTTGCAGACTTTGTCTCACTGAAAAGCTCGAAAATCCGCTCTCGCCGTTCCACACAGAACACCATGGTCACTAGGACCTCAAGTGCCTTATTGGCATGAAAGTGTCTATTAAGGTGCTGATCTTAGAAAGCGCTACTTTCAAATATTAAAATGCCCCTAGAGACATATTTCTTCAGAGAGAGACATTTATCTTTTTTTTTCTTCAGCTAGCCTCATGGGAAATAGAAAGATGAAATTTCACAATTGGCTGTTGAGTTGAGGAAAAACCTCACTTTTGAGGTGTATCCCCCCTCGGAATATTTTTCTGGAAGTGACTGCTAAATGCAATTTTCTCCCAAAGAACGGTAAACATGTAGAAAGTTGGACCTCGATGGGCAAGGAGTTATTCAGGTACCGATATCAGTTCTTGAATGCCTGAATGGAAAATACTTTTTAGTTGAATCCCCTCAGATCACATTTCTTATTTGGAACAAATTCCATACTCTTCATACCTGGAGATCGGTATGCCAACACCCATTGGGTTCATGAGATAACACGCCGATAATTTCGCAACTTCCCCGGCAGTGGCTCCCAACCTTCTCCCCGCAACGGCATGGCACCCTTGCAAAATAGTACTGTATATGCCTAGCCAGGACCTCTATGTTCATTAATGAATTCATGACAATATCTTTTCATCAGTCAAATGGCAAAGTCAGAATTAAAAATAAAGTGAACTCTTCCTTTTTTTCACTCCAACGAAATACTACGCCTGCCTTTGGCTGCCCAGGAATCTAGAAGCGAATTTTGAAGTGACCTTCCGCGATTCAATGTTGATACTAAAACGGGACCGTAACTTATTACTGACCTACCTAAATAACCAGAAGTTTCACAGACATATTTGAAAGCAAAAACTTATACGCATCATTATATCAGAACATTTTTTATTTTGACGGTCCTCCTTGATAGATTCTCTCTAATGAAAGGGCATTTCAGTCGTAAGCAATATGATTAACTTTTGACGAAATTTGACTCCTTGAATATTCCTGGTATGCACTTTTATTAAGAAAATAAAATTCTCCCAACACCCACGGAATTGATGGTCGTGTTGGTTGTTCGGGGAAAGCCATTGAATCCAGAACCAGACTGCTCATTCGCTCTCGCCATCAAGTTCTCATTGCTCATCTTCTCCCCAACCTGGGAATTGGAAGTATTAGACAATTGTTTGCTCTCCTAATTCAAAGCCTATTCCTGGAAGAAAGATTTAAGTAAACTTTACTTCAGGAAATTACGGAAATTTCGAGGGGAAGGGTTACCTCCAAGAGAAAATGGAGAAGAGGAAACATATTTAGGATATAAAAAACCGCGTGATTACCTACTCGAAATTGTGTAACATAATAATAAGCCATTTCATTGTTATTCATTCAACAAAGGCGTGAAATATTATGATCAACTTCCTTATTTTTCTCAAGAACATGAAAGGACATGTTATTGGCAGTTTTCGATCAGTACCAATTGCAGCTTGCCAATGTTAAAAGGGTAATTCAGCGTCAAGTCTGTCTTCGCTGACGAGCTACCACTGCTAGAGATGATCAAATCATCCGCCAGCGACTGTGAAGGAGTATCAAGAGGGGAAAAGCGCAATATGTTATGACCTTGCCACCAATCCGTTCATGTCAGACACATCAACTTCATCAAAAATAGCGGATTTTTTAAGAAATGTCAGTGAAATCTTGCAAGCTAAAACTCAATGCAACGATAACAAGCACTTCACAACAAAGGAGTTCATTTGTCTTTGTCAGAAACTTCTCGCCAATGAGGTTGGTCAGACAATAAATCATTCAATGCAGAAATTACTCGTGCACCTTCTCGGAATATTGCTTATTTGATGCGTTAGGGAGGAAGGGACAGCAGGAAAGGATTAAGTAAAAGACATCGTGCAGTCACCTGTGACTTTGGCCCATCGCGGAAATCATAATCGTGCATAATTAGGAGTAGAGGATGATGAGTAAATTACCTTGATCCATGCTCCAGTTTCCGCCTTCACCTTGAAAAATATTTGACATTTATGATGTGTGAATGACTGCGGATAAGCTCAAAACAAGTTATTTCTCATTTCAGGAGGAAATAAAAGAAATGCGTCTGGATATCAAGAGCCTCTTGTCCAGCCGTGAAGATGAGAAAAAGTTCCTTCAAGACGTAAGTCAAGAAGAGAGCAACTGAATCGAGTTTCCCTATAGCTCTTGGCTATTTCCGCAGATCTGTAGTTGCTGGTTTCAAAACTTGGCTGTCTAAGGTTTCATCATACTTAACAGCAGTCTCTGACGTCAGTGAAATGCATGAAAATTGCCTTGCTGCGAATCGCACGCAAGCAACACGTGATGTCAATGCAACGTAGCTGGAACGTGAGCCAAATGACGTTATGGTAACGTTGCATGGTCGTAATTTAGATGAGAGCGTTTCTCCGGCCAGCTATGCTCTATAATCGTGTGAAATGCGAAAGAAATGAGCAAAACGAGGAAGAAAATATCCTCTGGAAGGAGGGTGAGAAGCATGGGGGATGGCGTTTAAAAATTTGGAATGAAGAAGTTTCATGGTCGCAACTGGTGATCAGGTGAAAATTTGCACTGAAGAGATGGATTCTCCTAATATTTAAGCAAAGAAAAATGGACCTTGTAACTCGGCGCGATGCATGCAAAACCTGTTAGCAATCCCTGAGTTATAATGAGAAAACCACATTCTTCTTGCTGATGTTGACGAAGGTGACAACGTGATGACGACAATCGAGGGCCAATTGCTTGTCTATATTAACCACTTAGTAGATGCCAAGCAAGCCAGTACATATTTAATTAATCCCTTGATTCAACATGACTACAACGCGTTTGTATATGCAATAGTATATACTTTTTTAAATAAAAGAAGTAGGAATTTTTTTTATTTACATGCGCAAATAAAACTTTAAAGAAAAAAATCACGTTGCACCTGAATATCCGATTTTGTTTCAATGGACCATGCTACGCATTGTGTTGTGATGTCATTCTCGGGTTTTGGGGTTGTTTAATCACCTGCATTCACCTGGAGCACAAAAAATCTGCTGTCATACAATTTTTGAGTTGTTTAACAATATGCTGAAATCCTCTTCACATTTTATTACCCCATTCGGAAGTTAGGCTTATTCTAAGTTGTATCCAAAGTTCCTTGTGATCGCCCTGTATATTCAATTTCCTTCAAATAAGGTCATGGAAATGATCATTGACCCCATGTTTTGCTCAGTAGACACCTTCTGCCAGTCAGCTATATATGATGGGCCAAAAGTTGACATTCACGATACTTCCCAGAAATGCTTTCAATGAGTTACCTAAATGCATTATAGCTTCTGTGCATGAAAATGTACTCTACTGGTATTTTACTTATATTCTATTGGTATTCTACTGGCTTTCTACCGGTATTCATCTGGTATTCATTATTCTATTAGTTTAACCCTTAAAGTGCTGAGTATTGTCTAGGCTCGCAACGCAAGTGTTTTAAAAAATTAGATTTTCATGGACACGTCCTTTATGTCATTTTTTTGATTGTCTACTTTAAACATTTAGGTCATCTAGCGCGGAAAGCAGGTAGCAGGAGGAGACCAGAGGTGTGTCCGCCGCACCGCGTGTAATTTCCAAACAATTCAGTGTAATGGACAGTCGCAGGGAAGAAAGGAAAATTCAAAATCCAATGCAGTGGATTTGAGTTTCCCAGCATGCGGCACTTTCGAAATTAAATATATTTACAATCCAGGCGATGTTTCGCTGCTGTTGCATGAAGTGGGAGCGGGATACCGCTGGAAAAGAGATCGTGGCAGTTATTTTTAATTATTGTTCATTAATGCTCATTAAAATTGTATCATGACGTCATCCACAATTTTAATGATAGTTCCAATATCATCTTTTCCCTCAGCGATGCTTGCAATTTACTTATGCGAAGCCCATATATGCAGACGCATTTGTTTTCTTGCAGCTCGTCCGTGAAAAGAATATCATGGCCGAGGAACTAGAGGTCAAGACAAAGCTTTACGACCAGTCTCAGAAGGAACTGGCACAACTTCAAGGCAACTTACGCAGCGTGAAGAGTCAACTCGAGGAGGTAAGCAAGTATGCTCCAAAGTGCTGTGGACAGAAAAGAGTTACAAATGCGCGTTGATGCAATTGACAATACCGGGTGACACCAAAAGTTCCGAAATTTACACGGTCACAAATGGAACCCACTACCAGGGATTGGTAGGAAAACATCAGGGCGTCAAACGCAACATGTTTATATTCTTTCACGAATACTTCACTGATGTTTGTCCTTCAGAACCCTCGTAAGAGCTATTTTCCAAAGCGAAGTGAGGGCGTGTGCAACGGAAGCGCGATTGACCTCAAGAGAAAAGGCGTTCCTTTAACCGCTCCCTTAACCTCTCGCAAGCTTCCGTTAGTCGATTGGCTTCCTAATTGAATCATTATTCATTCATGTGTCGCACATGTCTTATGTATTTACATATACCCATTGCACATATTTCACAATCCGGTGGATCAGTTTGCACCCATTATTTGGAGAAACTTCTTGGTGCAATCGTTGCTGGAAATCGTCAAGTACTTATTGCATGGTCTTCCCTGTTTGTGGACGTTCAGACACCCCAGACACAAGCAGCAATACGATGTTCGAGTGTGTAATTGCTTGTATCCCTCATGATTATGCTCTGCTAACCTGGAAAAAGAAAGAAAACAGAACTGTATAAATTTCTGCGGGGAGGGGGACAAGATATTGTGGGCGCCGTGTATACAATGGGATGATTTCCGTATGTCTCACAGGGGATACATAACATCGCCGTTCGAGCAGACGTTTTGTATAGATAATCAAACCTCCTGTCCTCGACCTTCCCTCACAGGATTTTTCCTGGACCATGCCGTCGTCTTGCTCTGCCTGCATTGCTTTAATTTGCCTCACTTGCCTTAACCTTTTTTGCAATTTCCCTCCTTAACGAGGCTTGGCGGGGAAAGTTCTTCCACTTCGTAAACTTTCGTGGGGTTAAAAGAGGTGCCGAGCCCACATCGTAGACAAAAGCAAATACGAGCAATTGAAGTACATGATTGATGAATTGAAGATGTGAAGAGTCGTACTTTGGCGCAAGAGCTCTATGATTCGATTGGGCAGAATTCTGAAGCCGATACAATAACTTTGAAATAGATAAAAGAAACATAAATTCCTTTTAAATATCCACGAAACTATTTTAAAGTGATTCCGCATCTACGGCTGCAACTTCAAGATCATCTAAACGCTCCTGAATTTCGTGCACGTGTTGCCTCCATCACAGAGAGGGGCCATGGCTCTACTTCATTCGCTTTTGAGGCCAGGGCCAATATAAAAAATAGGTAGAATAATTTAACAGTTCTTTTTATTTGGACACCACTGACAAAAAATATAATTGATGAAAAAATGGCTTTAATGAAAACATTCCATTAGATTTCCGCCATGGTTTTCTCCATATCAAACAAGGCAGAAAGTCACTTCAGGTGGGCTTTCACTGCATGCAGAGCTAAGAATGCTAATCTAATCGTCTAATCTAATCGATCTAATCTTCTTCCTCCAGATTATGAAAAAGAAGACATTTCTTGAGCAAGAGCTCGAGCAATTGAAGACGAGTGACCTCAAATGTATCATAGAGGGTCAGCTGAACGATCTCAAGGACGATATGAACAAACGGATGAATGAGGTCCGCATATTTGATTCATTTCGATCTCAGGCGTCAGAATCGACGGTTGGTCTGAGCGATTCGATTTCAACGTGTGGTTGCAGTTCCGACAGAATCTGGTTGGCTGGAAGGCAGTGCAACATGTGGAGATGCGGTCGGGGTGCGGGGAAACTTCCCTCCAGACGCAGAAACAAGCACAATCCCCTCACCCAATGTCAGAGGTTAGCTTCTTTCTCATCAATGGGCGAGGTATTACCTTTCTTCAACCCCTTCCAACGACAAAATTTAACCGTCCCATTTTCCTCTCTTAAAGCATCAGCAGGAAATAAATTTGACATGCTTCTTCCTCTCTCACGACACAGAATCGTTCGAACAAATTTGAAGCTCCATCTCCCCGGAAGCTGTGGAGACCACTGAACTCGCTTTTCGGAGATGTGAATTAGACCAACCAAACGGGAGATATTGACTCATAGTTGACGAAAATTGTCCTTTTTGTTGCTTCCAGTGCACCATTTTGCCATAAAAGTGAAATTAGCTGCAGCTAATTTAGGCTAAGCGTGATGACTCCGGTCCCGCCCTCCAGTGTTGCCGGATATTGTTCTGGAATTATGCCAGATTCATGACCTCTTCGGCCCATACATCGGATCTTCTGTTTTTTTTTTTTAGGGTGTGAGATCAATTTGTGGCTAGTTCATTAGATGAACTGAGATTGAAATGGTGGTTAGCTGTGGCCGAACGATGTGGTGAGATGTGGAGATATCTGATTCGGACATCCTTAAATTCATTGATGAATTAGTAGTTCATTTTAATGTTGGTTACTTCAAATTGGGCTGTTCAAAGTATGACGAATGCTAACATTCTCACTATTCTATAAATAATGTTTCGGAGTAGCTCCTCTAGGTGTCTTGCATTGCAAACGAAAATACTATACTATTCTATAACTATACAGGAAAGAATTGTCACAGGTAAGGGCCTAGTCTGTATGTCATGAAATGGGAAAAAAAGTTTCTTTGGGAAATCCCAAAGGAAATCATGCAAATTATGTACCTCAATATACTAAGACCTATTCATATTTCCGTTCTGTTTTTTGTAGACTCGAGAAGTCTGGAGCTGGGAGCAAACTAGATGCCAGGGAATTATTTATCGACGTGAGTGCATGCATATGCATTGAGGCTCTTTCTTGCTTTGAGTGATGTTTTTGGGTAATTTTATCTTTGAATAATCCCTCATGTCAAAGAGTTTTCTATTCGAGGGGACAGAACAACGCTTCTAATTTGACAAACATGAATGCATGTATGTGGGAAAGCTATATAGGGATAACCGAAAAAGGTAAGCCAGTCGAAAGATTCCTATAAAATCCATTGTTCTCAATCGAGTGACTCGAAAATGAAATGGAAGTTAGCCTAATGTGTTCTTCAAAGCTCTTGCATTATGATGGATCTACAGCTTCTCATGTTAGAGTTATATCAGATTTTGTCAAAATTGTATTAAAAAAATTGATTTAGCAAGCATTTTACTTACAAGGAAGGAATTCCCATTTAATTTTTGCGTAAATAATCAGTACATGTGGATTTACTGTATGAATATGAGAAATTAAGAGAACATTCTATTTAAAAAAAAGTTTACCCCCTATCCACCTGGTTGTTCGACCAGGTGGATGGGGAGTGGACTTTTTTCATGGAACCAGGTGGACGTCCCTTCTGGTGGAAATCCTCCTTGGGGCACATGTATTGGGTTGTAACATATATTCCCGCCGTTTTTATATTTTGTTTGTTTTCACTCCATATTTTTGAAGTTTGGCAAAGTGGATATAGTCATTCGAAAGAGCGTTGTTCTGTCCCCTCGAATAGAAAACTCTTTGACATGAGGGATTATTCAAAGATAAAATTACAAAAAAA